TTTAATTTAATCTAATCAATTTATGTCATTAGTTACATTTACAATCTAATTCCAGTTCAAGCAGAATAGCCTCTTGTAAACTTAACTATAGAGTGTGATTTATTTTCAAATCAAAACATCTTCAAACTAATGAAATATGAAGTTTTTAGTGAGAAAAATCCATCTGGATAACAGCAGACTGACTGCTGGTAAAATATACAACAGGTCTGGACCACACAAAGATCTTGTTCATATCTGAAAAAAATCTTAGAATACGAGAAAATTGGTGAATGCCACAAATTGTCCTAAATCACTCGTACGCACAACTTAAGAACAAATCTGTTCATACGAACGGTTCTTGCATGAGGTTTACTTAAATCACCTTTCAGGATACCCAAGGAAACTTTACAGCAGAAAAGAAATCATATAAAATTGTGTAAAAACAAATACAGTTCAAGACCATCGGGCATACATGTAAGTTACAGAAGGAAGTATTTAAAGTGAAGTTAAGATGGATATACAGTACTAATTTAAAGAGATGTGATTTCAGAGCAGAATAAATTTAAAGAAGTTGTAATTCTTAGGTCTTGATCTGAGGTGAGGAAGATAGGAGAGAGTTGATATAAGGGATTAGAAGACGTCATTCTGAAATGGAGGTTTTAGTGCTGACGAAGATGAAGTATGTTTTATCACTGGTTAGTTAGGAAATTATCGGAACATCACTAACTGTGCTCACTGAGACATTCAGTGAGGATGAATGGTGGGTGTGTAGAGYTAGGTTTGGTTGACAAGTAGAGCTGCATGTCATCAGTATAGCATTGGAAGTGGAAACCGCATTTTTAGAAGATGTAGAGGAAGGGGTAAGTGTTGAAGAGGAAGGGTTTGAGGACAGAGCCTTGGGGCACACTGGTGGAGACAGAATTGATTGTTTAGTTTATTCATTCATTCATTTATCAATTTATTTAAAACACACAACATAAATTCTATGTTCAATAAAACAAACAAATGATAAGTGAAAAGTGGCAGAAGAAGAAAAAACATAATATCTGCCCGTTTTCACAAACAATTAAATTTAAATTTTTGTTCCCATATTTCAATTTCTTCTCACAGACCAAAACCTGTACCTTAGCTTCACTGGCACACACTGTACGTCTCAAACAAATGCTTTGTAAATGGAATTATTTTGAACAAAATTATGTTGTCTGAGTATTTTCAACTCAGCCCTTGAAAGTGGGCCAGTCAGTCAGGAACTCCCAGGCCACTTTCTCTCCCCAGTCTGCCCCGATCTCAGGGGCTATGAAAGTTATGTTGCAAGTTCGTTATCTCATGCAACATACTGCAGGCTTAAGTCTGCAGGTCCAGACAATATCAGTTCTAGATTCCAGAGGTGCTGCCCAGGTCAACTATGTGGCATCATGGGAGTTTTGTTCAACCTGACCCTGAAGCTGGGGAAATTACCACAACTGCGGAAGACCTCTTATG